ATACAGGAGGCAACTGATCAATGTTTCTCTCTCACATCGATGTTCCTCCCTTTCTCTCCCCCTCCCTTTCTCCCTCCCCCACTTCCTCTCTCTCTCAAATCAATAAAAACATATCCTTGGGTGAGGATTTAAAAAAAAAAAACCTGAGGTAAGGGGGGACAGGCAATGGCTATGTGGAGATGGGCAAAAGGAGGGACATGGGGACATTTGTAATAGTGTCAACAATAAAAATAAGTCTTTAAAAAACTATTTTTATATAGCATTACATTGTACCGCTCCCTGATAAACAGTTCTATAGATAGAGGGGACTTGGTCCCTCTGAAGGGCGGTGACCTGGACTGAGGAATTAGGAGAGTGAGGAAAAGGATACCCAGTGATGCTCCCAGTGGTAGTGCCTATAATTTGACTCTGGTCTCTCTGGAGAGTGTGCCATAGTCTATGATTCTGTACCCTAGAGTAGCAGTCACATGAACATCTGAGCAATACTAATATTTTTTAAATAGTCTCCAAGAATCCATAAAGTAATGGACCAAATATATGCACAAATCTGTGTCTGAGGCTGTAAAAGTGCCAGGAACTGTGGGCACATCAGCACTGGGTAGTTACAAAGTTCCACACAGACGTGCCAAGGTAAGAGAGCATGTCAGCATTCTGTGTTCTTTTATGTGATGATCAGTCAGGTGCAGCCACAAGAGGAAACCCAGGAGATACTCAGGGAGACAGAGTTTACTATACTCACAAGTCCTAGAGACAGAAGGTGTGCCGCTCCACGCGGGGTTCACGGGAAAGCATCGGCATTGGTGAGGAGCGAGGAGAGTGCTGAGGCCTGGGTAGGCAGGCAGGGCAAGGGGGACAGGTTAAGGCTGGGAGGTTCCGATAATTTCAGGGGGCTTTGGTCTGTAGGAGTGGTCTCTGGTTGCCTGCTAAATAGTCATGGTCTTGACTGCGGCTGTGTGGGCAGAGAGAGGAGGCGGGGCTCTGGGTGGCTAGTTTGCAGCTCGGGCTCAGTCCCTGGCTGAGTCCTGTGCTGGCTCTAGAAGGTCGCTAACCCGGAGCAGGCAGCCTCTCCCTAGCCAGAAAGATTCTTTTAAGATGTCAAAACATCATAATAAACAAAAATAAGTTTTAATATATAAACAATACAAAGATTGAACAAGAACGATGTTACCAAAGCTAGGCCCAGAGGCTGAGAGAGAGAAATAATTCCGGGGACTGGAGAGAGAGCAGCAGGAATGACGTGCAAGGAGCTGACCAGGGAGAGCTTGTGCAGGATGCTGCTCGGGATTTGGGCTGAAAAGGTTTCGTTTAAAGTATTCTGCCTTTTGTTTCCATTGTTTTCAGTCAATATACACAACCTATGAGTGCCATCAGAGAAATGTGTTGTGTAGAAAGTGCCTTGGGAGTTTAGAGTGTTAAAGAACAAAATTCACCCAAGTGAATTTGAGGGTCTCATTGGCTTTATTAAGCAATTCACGAATCGGGAAGCATCCCACCTAGCAACTACAGGGGCACACAGATGAGATGTAGAAAACTGGAAGGTGTTATAGACAGGAAGAAAGTGGGGCCAAGAAGTCAAGATGGATTCTTCCAGGCAAGGACACCTTCCCTTGAGGGACGGCCGAGGGTCTTAGCAGGCAGATTGTCTCATTGGCTCACCAGACAATTCCAGATTGATCGGTGAAAATTCAAGCTGAAACTGCAATTCGATTAGTTACTAAGTTTTAGCTGGGTGAGGTAGCTTGGCAAAAGTGACTCCATTTTGACCTACTGTTTCTTTCTTTCTCTTTCTTTCTTTCTGTTGGAAAGCCAGAAGCAGCTGGATAATGGACTCTGCCTCACAAGGCCCTACCAGGCTGAAGGTCAGGCCCATCTCCGATCTCAGACATTTCTGGCACAGTGCCCACACAGTGGGTGCTTGATGCACCCCTGACACCTGTGGGTTACGTGAGTCATGGGTCCCTTTGCAGGACCCATTGAGAATCTTAAGGAAACTAGAAAAATATGAGAAACGGGAGAAAATGTTTACTCTGTAATAAACGTCACTGTTTACTCGTCACTTTGACGAGTTCAAGTGACCAAAAGTAATCTCACAGGGTGATCTGATCCTAAATTCTTAACTAGACAGGTCATGGTGGGTAGTCACGTTGCAAGCCTGTAACTTCTTTAAAGCTTTTTTTATCCTCCCCTGAGGACATGCGTATTAATTTTAGAGTGAGAGGAAGGGAGGGAGACCAAGGGGGAGAGAAACGTCAATGTAAAGAGAAACATTGATCAATTGCCTCTCCAACGTGCACCTGGACTGGGGACCGAATCCATAATCCAGGTATGTGCCCTGACCTGGAATTGAACTCGTGACCTTGTGGTTTAGAGGATGATCCTCCAACCAACTGAGCCACACCAGCTGGAGCCCAGGCCTATAGCTTCTTTGGTAAAAGTTTTATCTTTGCCTTAAGCAAGCCCTGTCCATTGTTCTCATGCATCTAGGTTAACACATCTTTAAAAATGCCTGAGCAATTCTCTTTTCAGATCCCTCCGAGCCACAACCACCCTCAAGGGAGCACGTGATTTTATCACCCAAATGCAGTCATAGAGATTTCCCCACCTTGCTTCTCCTACCTCCTCTCCCGAATTTCTGTAATCTTCCTTACTTCCCTCCTTAATTCCAAATATATAAAAAGAACTGAAAAACTGCCATTCTCCAGAGTATTTGAGATCTTGTCAGCTTGGCTCAAGTAAACTAAAAGTTCTCGACAGGTTTGGATGTCCGCATATCCACTGAGCGACTCCAAGCTCCATCCTTGAGCTGCCAGGGTGAACCCATGATCACCCACTGTCTCAGTATGTAACGGTACTCACCTATCTTGAGTAACTCTCCTTCAAATGTGAAAAGGGTGGTATGATTTTTGCACTAGTACATGGTTTGATGTGCAGTGTAGAGCTCCTTTTATCTGTCTTTGAACTTAAGTTCATAAGCCCCTACTTCAGCGCATGGCAAAAACATTAAATTTACCAATTCTATGTCATTCAGCTACATTTAGAGTTTAAAAGTGGTCAGTTTGATGTTTAAATTAACTAATTCAAGATTATCCCCTTTTCTTTTATTATAATGACCTCTTACTCTGTTGGTGAGGAAGGGATTCTGCCCTAGGGGTGCGGGAATGGCACTAGGGTCCGGGGTGGGGAGCACAGGGCCCCAAACACTGTACAGATGAGATAACGGCAATGTATTAGTCACTTACACTCACAGCCCAGGGAGAGAAGACATTGTACACCATGCGGAGCCACAGAGGAATTGCATTTGGGAACAGAGTGAAATACCAGGGGCTGTGGGAGATACTCCGTGCATCAAAAGGATGTGGTGCCCCCTGATTCCCACAGGCAGATATGATTGGTTCGTTTGAATAATTCTGTGGCCTGACATAGGAAACATGCAAACCTATAGAGTATTTTTGTAAGAGTTTATTTGAGCCAAACTGATGACATATGCTGGGGAACAAGATCTCAAATGTTCTGGGAGAATGAGAGTTTGCAGTTTCTCTTCTGCATTTGAAATTAGGAAGGGAACCAAGGGATATTCTGTGAAGGTGGGAGATCAGATTACAGGCTAGATAATGAGATGAAGCGCTCTCTTGCATACTTTAGAAAGAGGGTCTGAAAGGGGGCATTTCAAAGGTGTGTTAGCCTCTCTGCACAAGAACAATGGAGAGGGCTGGCTTAAAAACCTTCACTAAAGAAGTTACAGGCCTGGGGCGTGATGACCGCCCCCCATGACCTTCCCAGTTAAGAATTTATGATTTATTACAGCACCCCTTTTTCATCCACCAGGAAGCTGAAACCAGCACCCAGGGGTATAAGCACAGACTGCACTTGGTCCATGGGGGGCAGACAGGGGAGGGGAACTTGTGGTTAGGCCATTCAAGGTCCTCCTGATCTTACCGATGTCAAGGCAGCACTTAATAGTGGACCTTAATTCTAGGCCTCACACTACCCCGGTCTTCTTCATTCCCCTCAAGGGTGATCCACGTTCCTGGGGGTGCTTATAAGTCATCCTGGCAGTCAGAGAAGAGTAGCCACTTCCCCTCTTCCTGTGACTGATTGGCTGGTCCAACCCCAGATCTCTTCAGCTGGCCTGCTGCCCAGCCCCCTGTACAGACACCCATTTGTGGAGGTTTAGGCACTGCCCCCACCCTGCTTTGATTGTAACCTCTGTGAGGTGGCCTCCTTTCCATCAGAGCTAACATCTCCCTTAGTTATTCCTAATCTCCTTTTTTATGTCTGACTCATGCCAGCCCGGGGCCACGTCCATGGAGGCCCCAGGCAAAAGGCTGCCCTTCTGTTCTGGGATGCCCTCCCCGGCACCCCAGCTTGTCCCGTGTCAGGGTCTTGGGCATCCACTAGATCTAAGCTCTACAAACAGTTTTTTCCTTGCATGCTAAACTCTTTTTTCCTTTTGGGCAAGAAAGTCATTGCAATTTTTCATGCATACTTCCTTCTCTACAGTTTACGGTAAAAATTTCATGCTCTAGTCTTCAGGATTTTTGGTTCATGATATGCAAAACCAAGTTTTGTTGAAAACAAAGGAAAAATCTTTCTCTTTCAAACCCCAGGTTCTTATTAAAATTTGATTTTAGATTATCAAGAATTGTTGTCTCAGCTCTTGGTCTTAAAATAACCACTTCAACAAGCAATTGATATCTTTGTTCTAGGAAAACGATTGAACTGTCCAATACTGTAGTCACATGTGGCTATTTAATATTAACTTTAAGTTAATATTGGTTTAGATGAAATAACATTTAAAAGTCAATTCCTCTGTTGCAATAGCCACATTTCAAGTGCTCAACAGCCACATGTGGCCAGTGGCTACCATTTTGTACAGTCAGATACAGAATGTTTCCACAGCGCAGAATGTTCTATCGGCCATTGGTAGTCTAGAGCAGGGGTCCCCAACCCCCAGGCTGTGGACCAGTACCACTCTGTAGCTTATTAGGAGTCAGGCCGTGAAGGAAGCCCTCAGCCTGAGCTCTACCTCCTGCCCACCCCACAACATTCGTCCATGGAAAAACCGGTCCCTGGTGCCAAAAAGGTTGGGGACAGCTGGCCTAGGGAATGTGTGCCTTTCCCTTGAGAGCCATGAATTGTAAGTGAAGAGCAATGTGTGAAGAAGGGGTGACAGATGCAGTCGCTGAGAAAGAAATCTGTTAATATCTTAAGATGCTGTCTTGCTACAGTAACTTTGAAGAAAGTTTTGAGCTTCAGAAGTGTAAGTAACCTCTTTTAATGAGATTCCCTTCACTCCTTGGTAGGAAAACATTCCTGACGGCTGGAAATGCTGCTGCCTACCAGCCTGTCACAGACGGCTTGGACCACCGGCTGCCACCTCTGGGCAGCTCTCTGGTGAAGATCATTTTTGCTGCACAGCTCCGCCTGCCCCCACCACTGGACCCACAGAGCCCCCGGGTGCATCGAGAGGTATTTTATACCGATAAAAGCTGTGCTGTTGCTGGGGGATTTTGCCGCTTTGTTTTCATTGGTTTCAGTATCACAGGAACTCTCCGAGCTCTCACGCCCTCCAGTCTTGCTTGGCTCCCCTTCACTCAGGTGGCAGATCATTCTGGCCTCAGGGTCAGCGGCTTCTCCCAAGAAGGGTTTTTGCCTCCAAACTGCTCAGCAGGCTAATTGGGGCAAAGCTTATCTGCTCACAGCTGGTAGCAAAACCAACATGTGCTCTTTTTCATTTAATAAACAATAATGATAGCAGTGACAACACATAAATTAGGTCAGCTGCTGAGTTCTGAACAGCCCTGTTTACAGCATGTGTTGTCGAACGTAATCCTGGCAACCACTATAGCTCTTGGGCACCAGCAGTGCACCCACCTGCCGCAACTACAGAACTCAGGGTTCAGGAAGTGCAGAGGTCAGGCTGCTGGGTAGTCGTGTCAGCACTAGCTCACAGACCATAGCAGTTATCTGTGGCAGCATAATAAATTACCTTAAAATTTGGCATATGAAAATAATAAACATTCATTATCTCATATAGTTACTGAGGCTCAGGAATTTGGGAGCAGCTTAATTGGGTAGTTCTGGCTCAGAATTTCTCATGAGGCTGCGTAAGTGTTGGCCGGTGCCCCAACGCTCTGCTGGAGGGGGATCTGCTTCCAAGCCCCCTCACACGCCTGTTGGTAGGAGACCCACCCCCAGGCTTATTCACGTGGGCTTCCCCGCGGGCTTCCTCACAAGTCCTTTGTGGCAAAGGACTTTCCCCAGAGTGAACGGTTCAGGAGAGAGTGAGAGAACCCAAGATGGAAGTTACAGTCTTTTTGTCATCTAATGCAGGCATGCCGTTCCATCTCTTTTGCCATATTCTATTCATTAGAGGCTAGTCATTAATGTCATCACACACTTGAGAGGAAAAGAATCAAGCTCCACCTCTAAATGCAAAGAATTTGTGGACATTTTCTCTAAAACCACCTCCCAGGCCTATTCCTTTTGACTCTAAAACCTTCATCCTAACATTTTTGTGTAGTAATGCCAACACCAACCCCATGTAAGTCCTGCACTTCTTCCTTCCATAGCTACAAGGCGATGACTGTTGAACCCAGCTTTAACCCTCTTTTGGACTCAGAAGACAAGGTTGGACCGTGACCAGTGGGTCAGTTCTTTCTGCCTTTGGGTGCTGCCTGGGATTAGGTGGATGCAGGGGTCCTGCCTCTCTGCCACCTGCATCAACTCCAAATCCAAGAATTCCCTGAAGCCAGTACCAGGTCTGGAAGCATTGAGTGGGATCAGACAGACAGGCCCACTATATCCAGGGCTGCGCATGGTGCACGAGGAGTAGGGGTGCCTCAGCGGTTGGACAATGATGTGGAGAAGACAGAGGCCCCCGTGTAACATTGTGGCATTGATTCTGAGCTGTTACTTAGAACTGAATCACAACAGTGATTGAAGATAAGTTTTTAAGATTCCTAATATTGAGAACATTTGAATAAGTTTTCTTTGTTGATTATAAATAGGTCACATTGGTATGGCACTGATCTGGAACTTTTCGAACATTGTGCTGACTAGTTACACAGAAGTCTTCAGTACCCTTCTGTGTTTAGCCACTTTCTGAAAAATCAAGTCAATGCAATAAGATTGTTACACTTTTCTCTACACCGTTAGGGACTATACATCTGTAACTATTTCTACATAAGTTATCCCACAGTATTTTGGGTGCAGACACAGTTATCCTGTTCGCATAAGGATATCTATTATGAACACAGTACAGCATTACCCTGTTTATTACTTGGTTCTTTTAGGCATTTGTACTGTTCCCTTGGAGGGCATTTCTGCAAGATGGAGGGCCATTTCCAGTCATGAGTAGCAGCCCAGCTACCCTGGAATATAACACCCAGGTAGGACTGGTCTTCCCACTTGTCACAGACGCACCCCAGTGCAGGCTGCAAAGGGAGTGTCCTTGGGTCTATAGGTCAGATCCTCCACACCCTGGCCAGTGGAGAACAATTTATGAGATAACCAGGTTGTTTTATAATGAGGCGTAAACCCAATGCCTGCAAGGTGAGTCATGTTTTCTTACATCAGAAGAGCGTCATAGTTTCAGCTGGTATCAGCCTTGGTTGTAAACTCAGCTGAAATTCCCATGGCCAGGAATGATCTGGAAGAGAGGGCATCCTTTCCCGGCCACTTTGGGCGCCTCTTGGAGAAACACCCAGGCTGGCAGCTCAGAGACGTGTGACCCCTGACCCATCTACAAATAGTGATAGAAAGAGAACTCTTTAAGCAGAGCTCATGAGAAGACTTTTTTTTCAATTGTGTATTTTCCCCCTGATTATTTAAGTAAATACGATTGTTTTCATTTTTAAAAATGTATAGAAAAATTAAGAACATGAAAATCAATCATAAATTTGATTGATTTCAAATAATATGGAGGTGGGAGTGACGGGATTGGGCAGGGCTGGCCACAGGTTGACGGTGCTTGGGGCTGGGTGGTGGGAACCATTCTGTTTGCCTTTGTATATGCGCAAAGCTCTCCAGAAGTTAAAAACAAATTTTTAAGTAAAATGGGAAGAATGGTTAAAAAAAGTAATCATAGCCTCCCACTAAGACACAATCACAATTCACATTTTGGTTTATTTTTTCCTGTATTTTCCCTATGCATTCATGTGTTATATCTGTTCTTTAAAAGGAGACTTGGCTTCACACTATACGTTCACCAGGGACAGACACTGTAAGGGCTGGGAAACTTGGGCTTCCACACAGACACCTATCGGCAGCAATTCTGCATGTATCTGGGAACCAGAGAGACACTTGTTTGGACACAGGGAAAACTGGCACATGCCCCTATTTAAAGAGCCTCCTTTCCAGAACTAAACTCACTGAGAGATGCATGTACTAGCATCTCCATTTCCTCTCCTTCCATCTACGCCTCAGAAACTGCATCTCTCTCCTTCCCCAGCTGATCACTCAGACCACCGTCATCAAGAACACAGTGGTCCTTGTCACTAAATCCTCTGGGTACCTTTCAGTCCCCTTCCAACCCAACCCCGTGGCAGCATTTGACACAGTGTGCCCTTGAAGCCTCTCCTCAGCCCCCAAAGCACCGCTCTCTCCTAGTTTTGCTCTGACGTTGCTGGCTGTGCCAGCTCAGACCCCTCTGCAGACTGTCCTCCCTGGGCCAGCCCCGGAAATGTTCTTGGGGTTTTGTCTCACTACTGGGCTCCCAGGGCTGCATTTTGACCTCCATGGCTCCAGCACCGGTGTCTTTGTGGGCCATCAAAACAATGCAAAGTTACAGCTTACAACTATGTTAATGTAAAGAAAAACCTATTAACATCATATATTAAAGTATTTTATTCAACCTAAATGTTTTTTCTAATTTTAAAGGAAATTAAAACATTTTATGGGCCCCAGGCATTACGCCTTCTGTGCCTAATCAATAAGTTGGTTCTGTATACTGTAAATACTGCTATTGGCTATGATTGAGATCTGTTCAGAATGCTTTATTGATTATCAATTTCTTTAATCCTCACAATAACGCCACGAGGTAGGTACTTCCATTATTCTCATTTTACAGATAATCCCAAGGCTTGGAGAGGTTAAGTGATGCTCCCAAAGTCACATGCCTCTTGAGGAGAGAAACCCAGACGCCAGCCTCAGAGCCTGGCCCTGCAGCTCCCTTGTGCTCGTCTCTTCACTGTGTGCTCCACGCCTCACGCTCTCCCCAGGCACACCTACCTACCTCTATGGCTTTGATGACTTTACCTGTGATGACTCCAAAATCTACGCGTCCAGTCCCAACTGCAATCATGTAAGGTTCGCATGCTCAGCTGCTTGATCCCTCTCGGAAACGGTGTGTCCCAAACTGAACTCATCTTACTGCCCTCACTCTTGCTCCTCCCTCCATATTTCCTGTTAGTGTACCACTACCAGCCCCATTGTCCAAGCCAAGAAAGTAGACCCCCATCTTTGACTTCTCTCTATCATCCGCTGTCGTCAGACACCAAGTTTTCCAATCCTATTGTTTTAATACCTCTCAGGTTTGTCTACTTCTCTCCATCCTCCCTCACTAGCCCACGTCCACCAGTCCAAAATCGTCACCAACTCCTAATACGGGGCTTTCATCATAACCTCCAACTGGGCTCCCTCTATCCACTCTTGCTCCTTCCACTCTGTTCACCAAGACAATATTTTTAAATGCAAACCTGAGTGTGTCACATCCCTCCTATAGTCAATCAATGACTTCCAAATGCGCTGAGAACAGAGTCCACGTGCCTTACCCAGACCCTCACAACCTGACTCCTGCCAGTGTTTCTACCCTCAGCTTCTCTCCTATCCACAGATGCACCGTGCTCTCTCTTCTTAGTTCCTTCCTGCAAGTTGGTCCCTCTGGAGGAAAACTTCCTCCTTCTCTCACCTTCTGCTTCATCATTTCATTAACTCCTACTTATCCTTCAGGTTTCAACGTCCAAACCACTCTTTCAGAAGCTTTTTCTGATCTTCCATCTTTACGTGAATGTCCCTCTCTGCCAATTAGGGCACCCCTGCCGTAAATAACAGGCTGTCTCACTAGCCTGGACTTCAATTAGAAAAGTGTGTTCATCTTTCTAAACAAGTTCAGAAGGAGGCCGGTCAGATGGGGGCAGCCACTCAGGTAGGTGCGGGCGCCCAGCTCTGCCATCCTGGGTGTGTCAGCAAAATGATGCCCTCATCCTTGTAAGATGAAAAGAAGACCAAAAAATCTTTCTCCTTAAGGGCTTTTTTAAAAATCAAAGATAAAAATCCTTTCTAGAAGCTTTCCAATAGATTTTCCTGTGTCTTACTAATGCTGAGTAACAAGTCCACTTCAGGCCTCTGAGTGGGAAAGGACATGGGTTAGATGTGCCATCTAAACACTACAACAGAACTAGATGCTTCACCCAGGGAGCATGTGCAGAGCTGAGTACAGATCAAGTAGTGCCAAGACCAGGAAGCACGCTGGGCCCTTCAGTCCCACTCTTCATTATTTTTGGCCCTGTGTCTGATGGATCACCGTCATTCCCCGACACCCCCACCTCCGCCGCCTTGTTCTTTATCCTGTCTCTTGCTCCTTCTCCCATCCTGTAAAACCCTCAGGAAGAAAAGACTTCTCTTGATATAAGACTGCTCTTGATTTTCAAACTAGTGTTTTTCAAGTTGACCTTTGAAAAACACTAGTTTGAAAATGGAATGGTCCACTTATCCATGGTTTTGTTTTGTTTTCACAAATATATAGTCAGCCCTGTATGCCCCTGGGATGCCCACCTACACAGGGGCCAGTGCCCCTGACCACCATGTCCTTCAGGTGTCGACTACGTAATAACAAGGCCAGTTGGCATTAAAATTAGTATTTATTTTAGTTAGTTTCATTTTTATGATCCGTCTTATTTAAGGGGATTTAACTATTCGTAGACAGCAGGAAACACGGGAGTTTGCACAGGTTTCCTGTCTCTGCTGTGCCACCAGTTCTGGGGCTCTCAGGCTTCAGCCTCTGAAACTCCAGGAGAAAGTGATGGATTACCTCGGGGCCTTTGAAGCTGTGGTCTCGGGGCCCTGGGTTCCTCACAGGCACTTTGGGGGTGTGGCCTGTAGGCTGCCACCTCCTGTCACCATGTTTGGCCTTGGTCTGTTGGATATTTGGGGCCACTGCCTAAGATTCATGGGACAAAATGTTTCTGAAAGTAAAATAAATCCAAAACTGTATGGATTATCTGGTTGTTGAGGAAGTTGGCAACACGGTTGAGGGGTTGCCAGGCGTCCTCAGGAGCTCACCGTCACCCTGCTCTTGTTTGCCACCTGTCCCTCGGACCAGCCCTTTGCTGGCAGCCACACCTTTCTTCAAACATGTTAATAGTACTGATCTGGGATTCAGTGACACCAGCAGGTCTTCCTGTTCCTACCCAGGAAACTCCAGCGTCTAAGGTACTAATACCCGATTGTCCTCCGAGGCTGTTCTTGCCATAACATCATGATCCAGATTTTCTGGCTTCATCTGCAAAGGGAAGCTCCTTTTCCTGTGACTGAGCTGCTGTTGTCAGACTGAGGGTCTGGACACAGGTCCTTGTTCTGTCTGTCATCCTCTAGGTGACTGGCCCTGAGACCACTGGCCACTGGAGAGCAAGGACCTGAAACCCCTTTCCCTCCACTCCTTCCAGGGCTCATAGCAGCCCCTCCACAAACACTTATTTAAGAAAAACACCAATGAATGAATGAGCAAATCATAATTTTCAAGTAAAATTGTCTATTGAATATTAAGTTCCAATTAAGAGACATGTTCTTTCCCTAACATTTAAAGGATAACAGAAGGAACAGGAACTAAGAGTAACTTCAGTTTCCATTTCCTTGACCACCCAATGGCTGAAATCCCCAATTTAAAGTTATGTTATTGCTCTACCACATGGGGAGTTAAATTTCAGGAATGTTGAAAAGCACTTTCCATAGCACAGAGGCCAAACGTGAAAACCTTAATTTTTCAAAGGGATGGAGAATGTTAGTACCCAAGTAAAAAGGTGTAAAATAAGTGGTTCAAGGCCCAGGCAGAAAGCTGAAACTGAGTCCTTTCTCTCCCGTCTGCTCAGGAAGGGTGCCTTCCCTCTCTAAGCCCCGCGTGCACTGCAGGTCTGGAAACCACTCCTCCTGGGGAGACGAGTCATTTCCAGAGACTTCTTTCTGCAAGGCCTGCAGGTAAAAGTCTATCCCGTCTGGGTCCATGATCAACAAAGAATTTCTGTAATGCTTTCAGGCAAATTTGTCCAGAGCACCAGGATTCAGAAGTCAGTTCCTGAGCATCCCAGAGGCCCCCAAGCTTTGGGGAGGTCTGCACACAGCCCTTGCTTTGCTGAGGTCATTTCTGGTGCTGTGGAAACAGCTGGAAGTGCTGAGGGAGCATGGGGGCCGCCTTAAGCTCCAAGGCCAGGAAATCAGTTCCGCCTCTCTCCACAAACAGTCCTCAGAGCTCTACGGGTGAGGGTTGCTGAGGTGGATACTCATGTGAACCTGGGGTTGGGCAAATTCCAGCCCCTTGCTCTGAGGCTGAGATTTGGTTCATGAATCCTGGTATGGCCTGCCCCACTGAGCCCAGAGGGAGCTGGGCAGTGTGTCTCTACAAGTACTGCTTCTACAGGAACAGCTGCGCTCTGCAGACTGCAGGGACAGCTCTGGCAACACAAGCCAACACTGCATGTCATTTACCCAGAGTTCTGTCCCTGGGAACTTGTGCTTCTAAAGTGTCCCCACTGTGCTGACTCTAAGGTCTGTAGCTCGTAAGTTCGCAGCGAGCACTGGGTGGGGAGATGCTGCTGCAGCAGATCCCTGCCCACTCTCTGCCCCATTGGACCCAAGCGCCGAGTCTGTGAGAGCTACACCCGTGGCAGCCAGAGATGTATATGGTGCAGAGGTATAATTAGGTCTGCGGAGGGCGGAGGGGGGTGTTTCCCAACTGCGAGCCCTGGCTGGGATGACTTAGCCGGCAGGAAAGACACATTGCTTCAGCCATGTGCCTGTCACCCAACAAGCATTCACAAAGCACCTACCCACCTCGCAGGACCTTGCTGGGCACAAGAGTCATTTTGGTGGGGTAGCGTGGATTGTGCATCTTAAGAGTTATTAACAGTCAGCTTCCCTGGTTACTAGGGAATGAGACTTGTCAGTATTTTGAAAAATAAAGACGGAAATTAAGTGTACCTGCTGGGAAAAGGCCTCAGGGTTTAAAACTGACTAAGGAAACAGCAGATGTGGTTAATTTACATGTTGATGTGAGCGCCTGTGATGGGTTGGGAGGTTTATATGTGACGACAGGAAACAGAACAGGAATGGAAATAATTGTCAGAGAATCTAATGAGAAAAAACACGTGTTTGTTTGTAACTTCTGTCTCTCTTTTTTAATAGAACTGACATTTCGTACCCAAACCTGAAAGCTCGAGCCAGGAGGATGGGGAAAGAAGATGAATTCGAAGAGCTTATGATAAGCAGTCAGTCTATTCTCCCCCCAGAGGTGCTTCAGAAATTAAAATAAAAACTCAGCAGGTATGTAGGAGCTGTTTTGAATTTGGCTTTGAAATTTTCCTTTATGCCATTAACAGATATACCCAAGTAGTGTTTTGTTTTGTTTTTATGAAGTGGAGTGTAAATTGAACGTTTGTAAGTCATTGAACAGGCTCAGAGGGAACTAAGTATTTGAAGTCATATGGGGTTTTGAGTGAGCCAATAACCACTACTTAATGTCTCAGAACTATTAACGTAAGTCTAGATTTTCATATTTTAATTTCCCCAAATTAAGGTGTACCACCACAAAAAAAGATGATGATAGAAAATATAATCACAAGCATCTGAAAGATAAAATCCAGCACAAAGTATCCCCACCCCAATGCCTACCCATGGACATGAAATATTTAAAGTAGCTCCTGTGATTGTTTTCCTGAGAACAAGACAACACCATTTATGCTCAGCCCCTTTGGTGTGTGTTAGCTGGTCTACGTGGGAGGTTGTTTTTTCAAAGTGTCTGTCCACCTTGGTCCCAGGACACAGGCTCCGTGCAGCTGTGCTTATCGGGACAGGTGAGCGAGGCCTCTGACTCCTTGGGTGTCAATGCCCAGGTGCTCAAGATGTGCGTCTACCCAGCATCAAGGAGAAATCAGTGCCCCGTCCCCAACACACACACACACGCACCAGTCCCAAGCAAATGTGTAAAGTAAGGGCTCATGGTTCTTGGAACAGAGTTTTCTCTTGGCTGTGTATAGAGTTTTAAATCTTCTCATGAAATCCCCCTTAGTGTCTAAATCAAGTTTCAGACCTGGGGGTTCCTCATATAACAACAGATCACACAATTCATGGCCACAGTTAGAGATGCCAAAACACATGAGGTCACCTCAGACACTGAGCACTGTGCAATTTAACAGAACTTGGCAAACAGGGTTGTGTCTCATTAGTCAGGTGCAGGCCAGGGAGAAAAGATGCTGGTCTCCAGAGAGGTGTCTCTGCCCCGCAGAAGCACTTGGGGGCCCTGGACAGGGACCCGTCCTTCTTCCCCGGTGGAGAGTGGCTGACAGCCAGGACTGGCCCAAGGCCCCTCGTCAGGGGTTTGACTTAAGAACCTCAAGTGCAAAGTAAAAGTGGAGACTGATTCTCAGACTGCTTACTCTCACTCCAGAGACTTCTGGAAAATTTTGAAATTCATATGATCTGGGAGGTATTAAGAAAAGTTACCAGAGAGATAACACTGGTTATGTCAGAAAAGTCCAAGGAGCAGCATACCCTGCCTACAGGTAAAGTATGATTAGCTCACAAAATAACATTTACTGGCCTGGCCAGGTGGCTGGGTTGGTCGGAGCGTCGTCCCATGCACCAGAAGTCTATGGGTCGGACCCCCAGTCAGGGCGCATGCCTAGGTGGACAGTTCGGTCCCAGTCAGGGTACGAACAAGAGGCAACTGACCAAAATGTTTCTCTCTCACACCAATGTTTCTCTCTCTCTTTCGCTCTCTCCCTTCCCCTCTCTCTAAAAATCAGTAAACATAACCTTGGACGAGAATTAAAAAACTAACATTTACTGGTTTTTTCCATGTTATAAAAGCAATCCATATCCCTATTCAGGGTAAAAAAGTTCTATAATGCCCAGAAAAATAATACAAAAATTACTTTTTAACATCTGGACCCAAAGAAAAGTACTATTAACACTTTGATATATTTCCTTCCACTTAAAGGGCTTTTAAATAGAAAGCATTTGTTGTATGTCAACCATAACTGAAAAATAAATTTTAAAATAAACACATAAACAGAAAACATTTGTTAACTTCAGTCTCAACTCTGCTTATTAAATCTAACTGAAATAAAGTTGAAATGGGGAACACAAAGCTTTTCTTATTCCATATATACATGTATATAGTACACATATATGACATACACATGGGGTGGGAAGGTAGTCAAAATTATTTCCTTTTATCTGAGTTCTAAAGTCAGGGTCACCTGGTTGGTGTGGCTCAGTGGACTGAGTGTCGCCTGAGAACTAAAAAGTCACTGGTTCAATTCCCAGTCACAGCACATGCATGGGTTGCAGGACAGATCCCCAATTGGGGGCGTGTGAGAGGCAATCGATCAATGTTTCTCTACCTCTCTTTCTCCCTCCCTTCCCCACACTCTAAAAATAAGTAAATAAAATCTTAAAGTCAGGGTCACTTCATGGGCATATGACCAGTGTGCTCACACAGGACTCAGGACCACTAGGGGTTTAATGTTCTTTGGATGCCACCTTGAAACTCCTGATTTTCACTTAGAATTGCTGTTTCGTAAGTGGAATCCAGTGAGTTGAAGGAACGTGCACCAAGGGCTCAAAGCCTTGGCTCACATAGAGTCACACCTCCTGCTGCCTCCCCTCCTTGCCAGGCGGGGCTCTCAGCTGCCTGCTCCTCGGCTCTCTGTCACCCAGGACACCCCTGAACTTCCCCTCACCATCCCCACTCAGCAATCGCTGCAGCTCTCCACCCCAGCGGGGGCCCGAGCCTGGCGAAGGCTGGGGTGGGGTGTGTGCACCTGACAGTGTCTAAGGGATCCTGGGCTGACAGCAGCCACAGTGTGTTGGATGGTGACTCAGTGGGGACAGACCTGTTGCCTATCCCTGGGTACCTAAAATATCCCAGTTCAGAGGTTGTAATACTCATGGGGCTGCCCAACAACAGCGGGTAGGGGCGGTATGCCTGTGGGAAGGGGCACGCCCAGCTCAGCTCCTCTGCCCCTGGCCAGGGAACAAGACCTCAGCCTTGTCCCTGGGACCACATGCACTCATGCACCCACTCACAGGGTCGGGTCCCTGGAGCCCAGGAGGATGGACCTTGCCCTGCAAGTGCTCCCCTGCCTGGTTGAGCAGCCCTGAAAACAAAGAAGAACACCATGATAAGTCTAGAGAAAGAGACCATGATAGGCAGGAAAACTCTATCTTTAGTACCTATAATGGTATTTTTTTCTGCTTTTTCAACAAGAAGACCTGCATATGTATTTTGCATGGGGCACCACAGATTTCATAGCTAGTCCTGTCTGAACTACAATGTCTATTCCTAACTCCTACTGCTTTTGCAGGAAAATCCACAACCTTTGATCTACAAAGGAGTTATATGACTAGCCAAATAAACTAGGCTTTCCTCTTTTGGTGACGTCCACAGGTTGTAGTGTTTATGAATAACCTCTGTCCTCACCTAAGCCATTGTCATTTTATCAGTGCTTCAAGCAGCTGAATTCTGTAAACAGGGCTCTGGGAAAAGGCTGTGCTAGGAGAGGGCAAGCCACACCCCCTCCTCCCCAGGTGTCTCTGAATGTCACCAGTGAGCTGAGTGTGGTTGAGCTCCAATTACAGAACATTTAGCAAGACACAAAGCCCTGTTGTTTGTGCTGAGTTTGCTGCATGGAGCCTGCTCCCTTGGAGAAAATGTACAAGCAGGAGGCAGGTGCAACCATCTGTGCCTCAGGGGCTGTGGTTCTTGGGAGACTTGGGGAGGAAGCAGCTCTGCTCTGCAGCTGTGTGGTGTGCCACCCCACCCAGTGCGGGGTGCATCTCAGCTGTGCTTGTAAAGGGCCTTCAGTAGGGAGCTGGCGGGAGTCAGGCAGAGAGCAGGGACAGAGTCATTTTTAATGGTGGTAAGGTTGATATTACCAAATCTTACTTTGGCTACAGTATACTGGCCAATTCTAAACTCTCGTTCAGATTCTGTACTCATGGCACTTCTAAGATAAATGCCAATGATGAGGGTGTTTTGGGTTTGGGTTTTGATCTGTTAGCATGACTTCATATGGAGGCCTGGGTCTCCTCCTGAACTGGCTTTTCCCAGTGCAAGTGACAGAGTCCCCACTGCCTGCCGGGGGTGCTTATATATATGTTTCCTCAATTTAGTCTTCCTAAGACCTCTGTGGGCTGGATACCTTTGAAGAAGGTGATAAAACCACGTCCTGCTCAGCTCAGCAGCAAGAAGCAGCCGTTGGGGATGGGGGCTTCCAACAGGGGCTGCTCCTTCATGCAAGACCACTGTTTGTGGCCAAGATTAGCTTGGGGCCGGGATTTTCTCAGAGGGAGTTGGAAATGAAGAGACTGAAACTAGGGGACATCACAGGCTCCTGTCCTCCCCTTGGGGTCTCCTCTCTCCCTGTCGGCTGACTGCGGTGTCTACATTCACACCTGCCAGAAGTGCACCCTTGATGCTTCCCTCTGCCTCCTCCCATCTTCTTCACCTTGTCTGGGAGCTTAATCTTTTGTGAGTGAGTTTTCAGTTTCTCAGTGAGAATCTGCAAATGCGGGAGCCACACCCAGTCTGCAGCTGGCTCTTGGAGGCTGAAGCAGGGCTCCCCTGGGAACTCAGAAGCAGCTCCAGGCATCCCCGCTCAGCCTCAGGGTTCGCCCAGGCAGGGACAGGGCCCCACTGAGGCAGAAAGGCTCTGCCCTTCTCCACCTTTGACATTTTGGGCATTGGAGTCATTTTTAACTGATGTTCTAAACTTCTCCAAGCAGTTACAAGACCATCAGTCTCCAAAGTAGAGTACACATATCCCAGGGGTGTGGGAAGAAAATATTAGAACTTCTGAGTAGATGAAGTTCAAATGTAAGAAGTCACACATGATACTCCACCCTGAAGTATCCTAACGTGACCAGGGGGAGGCAGTCTACATGTAAATATGAAGAAATAATAGAGCTGATACTTCTGTTCCTGGTACGTAATATGGCTTATCATCAGCCATATTGTGAGGTGAAAAAAAACTACTCACAACTGATAAGAAGTCAGACAAAGGAACTGAAAGGTAGAGGGAACTCCTGGGAATGTGGTTTGAGATCAATTCTCACTGCTGATGGCCCTGACCCTAAGTACACCACGCTTTGCAATATTAGCCAGTGGTTGTATTATAGGAAGTTACAGGTACATTAACTGACATGTGTTAAAGGTGAGTGAATAAATATGTTTCACTCGAGGGAAGCACAACCCAAATACTCAAGAGAGCGTGGTCTAGGCCAGCATGTCCCCAAGCCGTGCCCTGGGACACAAGTCCCTC